TGAACGCCAACTTTATGGTTAAGACTCTTACTAACTAAACTCTTACTAAACTCAAACAATATAACTGACTAACTTTTGATTATTTATTTAGTTTGAAAATATACTTTTGAATCGCTAGTTTTCGATTTATAATTGGTGTCACTATAGTCAGTCCGTGAGGAACGTACTAACAGCTGCTTAGAATGTAGATTTACCGGAGGGAGCCAGGGAGAAACTTCATTGAGAGGAATGGCCAATTTTACACATAACACTATAAAAATTATTAAGCTGATTAAAACAAAGTATTAAATAAATATTTTTGCAACATAGCAATCAAGTTTAAAATGTCAAATATTAAAGATCGAGTTGTATTTCTCATAATCGTAATAATGAAGTCTTTTTTAGAACTATGACCTGCTTTCGACTAACTAAAAACATTTTGCTCGAGAGATTCAATATCCGAAAAATAACTAAAGGGATAAGAAATGTAACATGGTGATTTCTTCAATTACAACATAATATTTTATCTAAAATATCACGTGATAAATAAATTAAATAAATTTATTTGCATTATATTGCACATGTCGTCTTCAACGAGGTAACCTCTACACCAGAACGAAATAAAGGATCAAAAGTACAGTCGAATTGAGAACCTCCTCCTTTTTGAAGTCGGTTGAAAACAAATTCAATCAATCAATTATATTGATAATTGAATACATTGAATAGATTTAATTATCAATTATAGTTTAACACATAAGTGGAACTCGTATTTTAACTGAAAAGTCGAAGTCTTCGACAATAATTAATTATATGTATTTAAAATAAGCTTTGACCAAAAATTCAAAAGTAGCATCATTAAATTTAATTACGTGTCGAAAATACGTATGTTATTTAAAACGCCATTCTTATTGTGAAATTACACAAGTCTCTTTCAATTTTTACTAAAGATTTTTTCCGTCATCAGCGCCATCTTACGCAATACAGCTGAATTACTATGTAAACTAATGATCTTAGATATTTCTTACTTCCTTGCTGGCTATGTACTCCTAGTACAAATTCGACCTAATGAAGCAACACTGAATCCCATTCGGACGAGAAATTAGTAAAAAAAAAAACATTTTTATTTTTACTCAATTTTCTAAAGAACAATTCAATAAAAAAATGTACTTACTATACATTTAATTTATTTAGTATTCTTTTAATATTTTATTTCGAATGTTAGAATTCAAGTTAATTTTTTAATAATAAATAAATATTAATAAATTAACTATTAATTATAAAAAAAAATTGAATACCTATAAATAATTTTGGTAGATTGCATTTGCATTTTGGATCAAAAATAAATAAACAAAAATAAAATATTTTTTTTTATACTCCAAGAAAATCGAAAAAAATAATTAAAGTATATATATTATACATGTATATAAATTAAAAAAAAATACATACATACGCACAGTACTTCCATCAAACCTTTTTACCTTTAGATAATGAATTTTAAAAGTTTCTTATCCCTTTGTATTAAAGCTCAAAATTGAATTTCAACCTTTCAGCTATGTGAGATTATTTTGTATACCTCTCAGTAATTCATGTTCTCCTAATAACTTGCGCACCGTTCGCGCAAGCCAGCGGACTCGTGCGCAACTCGCGTGCTGGATGCGCACGCGCAGCTTTCACTCGCAAAATAGTGAGCAAGTGGTTTATATGAGTCCATTCGATAATGTATTCTATCGCCTTATGAATACGGTTGTTTTTTAAATCACATTCTTGTAAATTTTGACGGGATTACTTCTGATTACTTGCTCATTTTCTTGCTATTTTATTTATACCACATAATATAAAAATTATGTTTTTAGATTTAGTCCGCCACCAGAAAATATAAAATACTCGTAAATCAATATGGTTTATTTTTCTATACCTCTTTTTCTATCAATATTCAATATTTATATCAAAAAAAGAAACCTATAATTTTTGGACTTTTTGCCATCTTTTGTCTGTTTTTTTTTTATATTTTCCACTTTACATATTTTAACTATTTTAAATTTTAAACAAATGCTAATAAATCTATGTATTTACATGTTTTTCTCTACATATTCACGTTTCGTTGCTATATAACAACGTTGGTACCAAAAAATGCGTTGTAAAACGGCATTCCCTTGGCTTTATTCACGGCCTGTAGAAATTCTTTATGTAACTATTGGACTTTTTTAAATCTATACATCTATACAGATAAACAAAATTGAAGTGTCTATTTGTAATGTCATCGTGTTTTCTGTCTGTCTGTTTGTTCCGGATAATCTCTGAAACGGCTGGACTGATTTTGACGGGACTTTCACTGGAAGATAGCTGATGTTATATGGAGTAACATAGGCTACTTTTAAAATTGTACCTATCGACGAACCCGAGCGAAGCGAGGGTGAGTCGCTAGTTCCTTATAAAGTTATTGTTAGTAGACGTACCTAATAATATTATGATATACTAGCCGACTCAGGTCCGTCCGAGGTACGTTTTAACGGTTAGTATGGAATATAGACCATATAATATTATACAATATGTATATTGTATATATACATGTAAGTATGATGAGTTGTTGTGAGTTGTATTGTAACGTATTTTCCCGTGGAAATGAGATAGTCTCCCGCGGTAAAAAGTAGCCTATGTCACTCTCCAGCCTTCCAACTATCTCCACACAAATAATCACGCGAATCCGTCACTGAGTTTTGATCTGAAAGAAGGACAAACAAACAAACAAACAAACAAACAAGAAAACACACTTTTACATTTATAATATTAGTATGGGTTGTACCTACATTGTACCTAAATGATAAATCTATAAAACTAAAACTTCAGTCATTTAACAACAAGAAAACATACAGGTTTCTTTATCTATTTAATATTTTCTCACCCTATGGTGAAGTCTACATATTTCTAGTTCTAGTGTAAGTCTACAAATACTCAGGAACATTCTATTTTAATAATTTTTAAATTGGTTTAAAGATATTATAACCAAAGCTAAATATTTATTTCACAGTAACATACTAAAGTTTAGTCTCGCAAGGCATTATAATTTATAATATTTCATTACATTATTATTATAAGAGATCTTACTTCTGAATAAAAAACACCTGTTTTTGATATGGTATTGTTTTCGATTTTATTTATTCTTTTATAGTAGGGCCGCAATACGAATTTCAAAGAAGGTATTTTTAAAGGTGGAATATACTATGTATGTATGTATAGTGTTTGTGATGTTCCGGCAAATATCCGAAACGACTGGACCGATTTTGAAGGGACTTGCACTGGCAGATAGCTAATGTTATAAAAAGTAACTTAGTCTACTTTTATTTTTAGAAAAAAATGGATTTGCTAAAAAAATTAAAATGTCCCTAGGGACGCACCCGAGCGAAGCGAGGGTAAGTCGCTCGTTCATTTAATAAAATAATACATGAAGGTAATGTTAAAGTCGATTGTTTTTTATAAAATTGGATTTAAAAGTGTATTATATTGTGTATAAATAATTAATAATTTTTTGATTCAAATTATTACGAAAGATTTAACTAAATCATGTACATTATACAATTTAGTTAAATCTTATATTTGAACTAATAAACATGAAACGCAAGTTATTGCGCCCGAGAGACACTACACTCGTTTTTATTTTTTCTTCCCTCGCATCTTGAAATTCCAATTGACTTGTTCCATTTACTAGTGTTACGGATCACTTTGAGAGAAAACGTTTTGATTGGGCACTCTTTTTAATTGTTTGTTGATGTTGAAAGAATACGAAACAGCCAGTGCTTAATATTTTATTTAATATTAAGTAAAGCTTTTTTTTTATTTTCTTAATATTTCTCAAAATAATCATTGTTAATAATTATTATTTTATCAAAATAATAACTTCTTCTATAATAATTCAATGTGAAGAAATAAAAAATAAAATACTTTAATCTAATATAAATCATCATAATATTAGATAATAATTAACGTATTAATAAAGTTTGTTTTTCCAAGCAATTTTATTAATTTTGTTTGCTCAAAAAGTACAGACTTATAAGCATTTTAAAACCAAAATTGGCCTAATCGACCCAACCCTTCTCTAGCAATGCACTTACCAAAAAATTGCATTTCCTTTTTTATTACAAAGATAAAATTCTAAATAAACAGAACAGTACTCATAGACTTAAACCTTTAAACAAAAGCTCTAAATAAAGCTTTGATCTAAAAAAAAACCAACTAAAAAATAATAATGCATCAATTCACGAAATGACGCTCCTGTCTACATGGCGTTATCGCAAGGCCGCATTATCGGCCGCCCGGACGATCGGCCCGATTGTTTTGCGGGCAATTAGCGCCGGCCCGGCCCGCACGTGCCGAGTGCCGACTGTCGGTCCGCTCAGTCGACAGTGTACCGCGGGCGCCCCACGCGAGTGGCTGTGTGGGGATACCGTGATACTACCGTCCTCTACACGACAGCTGTTCACGTAAAGTTTTTTCTGAACGCTCGTGCCGTATAGGATTGTTTTCTTCTGAAGAAGAAGCTTGAACGGTGGTTTGAGATGTTATTTTGCTTGTTTTTTTTTTTTTTTTTAATGTTATTTTTTATGTTGGTCTCAAATGAATATATGTAGTTTTTGATGATGCACAATAATTATTATTTCAAATCGAGCGCAATTGTACAATGAACTCGAGAATAAAGACCTTGTCAGAACATTTCCCCCCTCACTGCTGGGAAAAGTTTTCGCAAAGTCCTTTCGGTCGGCGAGAACTTGGCAGTCAAAAGTTCCTGTTCTCGAAGTTTTACGCACGCGAGTCTCGCAACTTTCCGAATTCGAAACTTCGTAGAAAACAATCCATAGGCTATAACTGAGCGCTTTTTCAGATGGACTAGTTATCTATCGTGTATATGTGACTACATTGTAGTAGTACAAGTTTTTGGACATTTTTGTGCAGTGATAAAATAATTGCAATATTCAAACAATGGGATTGAATGCATAGAACTAGTGTAGTGACAGTTGTTAATAAAAATGGCGGCTGCCATGATAAAAGACCGTGGACTGCGTAAAAAACTTACTCAGGAAGCCATACCCGAGAAAACACCTAAAAAACCTTCGAAGCGTAAATCGACGCCCAGTAGTTCCAAGAACGACAAGAAAAACGAGCAAAACAACAATAAAAGACCAAAAATACAGACGGGTGATCCAAAAGTGGACTTGTTTTCTACCTACCAGCCGTGGGTGATCCAGACGTATGGAGATTTGGCAAAAACAAAAACAATAACATTGAAAAAATACGCCAGAATTCTCCGAACACTGCGCGGGGAGGAATGCAATAGTTCTGATAGCTCAAAATTTCGTTTTTGGGTGAAAGCTAAGGGTTTTCATGTGGGCAGGCCGACGGGGTATGACGCGAAGCCTGCCGACGGCATCGTTTGCAGATACAGTGTGGCTGATGCAGAAAGGTGTACTCGTGGGCCGGACGGGCAAGAAATCTACACGGGATCACAGAATGACCCTCCTTTGTATATACCTACGCCTCCATTAAAGGTAAGATTAAGTAAACAATTTTTTGTGCGATACAGTATAACTACTATTACTTACTACTTATTTAATTAAAAGTAAAATAAAAAATATTTTTAAAATAAAGGCGAAAATTTTTCATGTACCCAATATCCATAGATAAAAAGTTTTAAGCCTTATTATTCTACACTTTTATCAGCATTTTTAAGTTTCTGTACCCGAAGAGTGCCAACGGAAACCTATTACAATGCCTCCGCTGTCCATCCGTCCATCTATTAGAGGGCTGTAGGCTATAACTCATGAACCGTACTAGGTAAACAGTTGAAATTTTCACAGAGTAGGTATGTAAAAATACAAGATTCATTTTTTTAACATTCGTAATCCATCATCGAAGTTATCACCTCGTGGTTAATTTCTAAGAAATTAATTGTTAACCGAGCCGAGTTGGCTCGCGGTCGTCTACATACATAAAGTAAAAGTCATATTATTAAAAAGTACATGTACGATGGTAAGGAACCCTTCGTGTGCGAATTCAACTCGCACTTGACCGATTTTTATTTTCATTCAAATAAAAAGAAACTAACAAATTTTTGTGTTTTATAACAACTACATAAAATATTTTACTTGATGCATCTTGGACGAAATTCACACGTACATATCTTTAAACATATCTCACCAGTCGCTTCACATCGCTATCAGTCAAATGCTGCTACTAATAATAAGCTGTAAACATTCTACTGATAGTAAATAGGTATGAAACTTCATTGAATGAGATTTGAAGCACAAAACGGTTTTCCCTTTTCTATTTAATTTGTGTAGGTTCTACAAATTTTAATTCAGGTTGATTAAGAGTGGATATCTGATGATTATTTTTAAACAAGTATTTAATTTAAATTTCTTAGATGTTTAATTTAAAAAAATATTCTTTTTTTATTAAAATAAGATTCTAATAAGCTGTATTTTTATATTTTCTTAGAAATATTATACATAACTAGCATTGCCCGCGGCTCCGCCCGCGTTCAGATGACCAAAAACCAAATTCTTAGGTTTTACATATTAGTATACTCTTACAATGCAGTTTTTGTATTTTTTTCTCAGAAATGAGATATTTTCCCGCGGTAAAAAGTATCCTATACATTGACCCAGATAACCAGCTATCATCATAGCAAATTTCATCAAAATCTGTCCAGTGGTTTTGTCGTGATGCGGTAACAGACAGACAGACAGACACAAAAATTCTAAAAACTATAGATTCGGACTCTGTATCGATAATAATGTCTATTTCAATAAGATTTTCCAAAAACTATTTAATGTATAGATTCGGCTTAGTTACAATTTTATTATATGTATAGATTTCTGTATGGCGTCTCTCTTATTTTAATGGTTTTCACTATGCTATATATATATATATATATAATCAGGGATCTGATAGTATTTTATTTTATATATACAATATACAGCAATATTTATTATCAAATATGCATGCAACATACTTCAGTCATGTAGGAAACGAAATAAAAGCTTACAAAGTACGTACTATGCTATCTATAGCTAGTTAAATAAATTACATATTTTAATTGTTACATGCTAAGGTGAAGTTCAATTTCTGGTCGAGGTAATTTTATTAGCATTATTTATAAAAAATACATTTCTGACGATATCTGTACTGAGTCATCATATTGAATATAAAAATATTTCGCCGTGACGTCTCAGGGGTTTTGTAAACCCCTTTTTCATTCACATCTCGTCACGTTTACAAGACCCCTTTTATATGACAATAGGGACGTAATTTATAGGTATTTTAGAATTTTTCTCATAGCATTATATAATAAATCTTTGTCTGGTTTTAAAATTTACTAAATTAAAAAAAAATATATAATGATTGTTCTATCTTCTTTATTATAAAAAAAAGTATTGAAATAATTTAGAATATTCGTTTTTTATTGTTTTTGAAGTTATAAGTAGGTACTTCTTTTGGGACGTTAGGAAGAAATTATGAGAGTAAAATTTTTATGATGCGCGCGTACACCGACAGCCAAAAAGCAACATGATGAAGTTAGCTGATAACTGTTTGTTGCCACGGTAACTGTTGTTATTATGACAAATCTATACATATAATAAAATTGTAACTAAGCCGAATCTGTACATTAAATATGTTTTGGAAAATCTTATTGAAATAAACATTATTATCGATACAAAGGCTGAATCTATAGTTATTAGAATTTTTGTCTGTCTGTCTGTTACCGCATCACAGAAAAACCACTGGAGGGATTTTGATGAAATTTGGTATGGTGATAGCTGGTAGGATATTTATTACCGCGGGAAAATGTCTCATTTCTGAGAAACTATACAAAAACTGAAAAGAGTATACTAATATGTAAAACCCAAGAATTTGGTTTTTGGCATCTGAACGCGGGCGGAGCCGCGGGAAATGCTAGTGATATATAATATTATATTCTTTCCTTAAATGATATTCTATAAATATATGATTGTACATACATTTTACAAACAGAGAGTTGTGACATACGTGATGAGATCTTTAGCTATTTTTGTTCTATTACGTCAAAGAACTATAACTTCTTACATGCGTCCGTCCAAACACGGGTTTTTTTATTTTCTTTGTTACAAAAATGAGTTCTTCTTAGCCATCTTACATCTGAAACAGGTGATGTGTGCCACTACAGTACCAGGGTCGCATAATCACAGAAGAGATTACGCGTCATTATAACGATTCATCGCTAAACATGCTATCATGATTCATGAGTCAAACGTCTTTTGCAGTGCATTGGTGCATTCACTGCGACTGGTAACTTATTAAAACACTTATGGGTAGTGAGTTCAAATCTTTTGGGTGTTTCACAAATATTTTTGTTTTTTTTTACTCTATTTGTTTTTTAAATGATTAAAAAAAAATTGGTTGTATGGGTGTTTTGTATAGAATAAGCAATGGTAAAGCGTGTAAACATAGGCAGTTAGTACATTATGTATTGTTATTATTCCAAGCCGTTTTACGTCCAAAGTCTTTATTTTTCATGATTCGAACAGGATGTAATCTCTGTAGAGACGTTAATAGCGGTGTTATCGCAGAAAGCGATTTGCTTGCGAGTTATAAACGTACGAATGTGTACAGTGCCTACAGTAGATTTTATGATTTTGATGCCTTTCAGCAATATTACTTGAAAATAAATGGAAATGGTTTTTGTTTTAACTTTGCGGTGCTTTAAAACTTATTTAAAGAACATTTTAAAATATTTACCTACAACAAAAGAGAATTTAACTAAATTTTGTTGTAATAATAATTTTCATTTGTTGCAATCTTTTGATAGACATATGTAGTCTAATTTAATTAGTCTTCTTGGAATTTTAGTTCTAAAAGTCATGTTTATTCTTCATATTATGTACTTATGTAGTGATTTTTCTCACTTAAAAGTCTAATAAAAAACGCGATATTTTTTATATATATTTAGTACTAGTGGCTCATTCTCACTTCGCTGGGGTTCGTCGCTATTAAAAATAAACACAAGTCTATCCCACGGGAACCGTATATTTCTCCGGGATGAAAAGTCTGTGTGCTATTTCAGACTATAATATAAATCTATCTCCGTGCCAAATTTCATTCAGATCCGTTCAGTTGTTCTGGCGTAATTGAGTAACAAACATTTATCCATCCAAACTTTCGCATTAATATAGTAGTAAGATATACGTGAGAAAATAATTTACACCTGTTCCTACTTATAAAATATCTTTTTTGACAATATTTTTGCTGACGACACGTTTGGCACAGTTTGTAGTCACCCTACTTTCTGTGCCAGCGGTCGCGGGTTCGAGTCCCGCTGGGGGCATTCATTTGTGCGATGACGAAGGTTTGTACTCCAATCATGGGTGTTTATATTTATAATATGTATGTATTTAAAATTATATATTTGAAATGTATCAACAATCTGGTATCCATAACACAAGCCTCGTAGCTTACCATGGAACTAGATGGTGCTGTGTGTTAATGTCCCAACGTATTTATTTATTTATTATTTTATTATTTATTTTTGCAATAAATCTTGTACTTGTGTGAAAGACAGATACCTAAATCCATGTGTTACTCCAGGTCATAGTCTATCTGTGAACTCATCCAAATTTGTCCAGACATTTCAACGGAAAGGGGTTATACACACTCATACATACATACAAACTTTCACATTTATAATAATAGTGTTAAGTACATCATTTTAAATCATTTTTTCAGAAACAACTGATATAGTACTTTACTATCTTGCAAGTTTAAGTACCTACAGAAGTTTATGGCAGACGCACATCAATATGTTGGGTATTTTGTACTCAGTACTTTTTTAACGTCCACTGCTGGGCACGAGCCTCCCTTCAATACGAGTCAGTCTATAGTCCACAACGCTGGCCAAGCACGTGCTGGCGAACATTACATGTCTTTAGAAAACTTGCTAGGCTCTCTTAGGCATCTCATTCATCTTATGCAGGTTTCCTTACGATATACTACTTCATCGTAAGACAGGTGGTAATTAACATGATTCGCATATGAAAGATCAGAGATGCATGACCCGGGATTTGAACCCGTTTCACTCGGTTTCTCAAGCGAGCGCGTTACCACTGGTCATCCACTGCCTTTATACTTTACATTGACTGTATATTTCACATTGACTATAATCGCAACATATAACCAGTACCTAAGTTGCAGGGCGTCAGCGGCTCGCTCACTCTCATTTATTATTTGCGGGTTCATGTATATTAAAGCCGGCGATCCCGCCAGGTCTCACCTGACTAGGCTTATTATTAATACTTTCCACTATCCCAGTTAAAAGCACTTGGCACGTTCTATCTGGGAATTTTTAAACTTTTATTTAAAACTGCAATGCGTTTTTTTTATATAGTTACTTTTCGTTCTGGGTTGGTTAATTATATAGAAACGATCGTCTGTAAAAAACTATTTGTTATATTGTGATTGGATGTTAATTGCTAACAAATTATGTAGGGTTTTGTTTTCTGCTATAAGCCTTTAGTATTACGAAAATAACTTATATAAAAGAAACAGCCGTGAAGAAATAAGTAATTAAATGTTTAACGTTAATTATTATATAATGTGTTATTTTTGAACACTCCAAGAACTAACTAAAATTAAACTCTGTAAGTAATTCTTTAAAATAATCAATAACAAACGTATCATAATCTAGTATAAATAGGTACTATTTATAATTAACTTATTTCTTGTAAACATACTCGTAATCATCATCTGAATCCACGTTTCCTTCTTTAACTTTGTTCCATTGAATCTTCTTTTTGAAGTCGTTTAAAACCTAGAAGAAACTATCTTCTAGAAGTAATCTACATATATATATATATATAAAAATGAACCCCTATTCCTCCTAGTCACGCTATAATTTGAAAACGGTTTTACCGATTTCATTCGCCTTTTTTTTAAATATCATCTAATACTTCGTAGAAGGTTCTTACATTAAAAAAAATTAAGAAAATTGCACTAAAACTTAGAAAATTTAAGAAAAATGGGGATGAAAATTTGTATGGGGATCAACCTAAGGACGAACCCGAGCGAAGCAAGGGTGAGTGAGTAAGCAATAAAATACTAAATAACGTGATTGTTAAATTATTTAGTCTAGCGCTCTAACACTCCAAGCGGATGCCCGCGGGATACACCAATATCTATGCGTGCAGTGGCAGCAACGCGTGAAACTTTAAACAAACGCTTTTCAATTTATATTCGCCGGGCGAAGCGTGGTTTTAGCAAAAACGAGCCCAACTGAACAATGGGCGGCCGCAATGGCCACGCTACGGAAAGGCTGGAAACACACTGTTGTGTCTAT